ACCAGTCAGAAATATTGGCTTAAAAGTTTCTGGAATCTTTGCATATAGACCCTTATAAAGACTTTCCTAAGGCTGGAGTGCTCTGTAGATCTACTTGCCACCTCCCAACCCAAATTACACATTCCACAATAAAAGTTCCTGCGTCTATTAAAAAAAAAAAAAAAAAGAGAGGCTCTTCCTCTGGGTAGTGACCCTGCGAGAGGAGAGGAGAAGCAGAAATCCTGATACCATCACATCCTTTACCCTGTCAATATCTGTCACGTTAGAACCGTGTTCTCAACCTGTGGGTAGTGACCCCTTTGGGTCATAACAGTAGCAAAATGACAGTGATGAAGTATCAACGAAAATAATTTTATGGTTGGGGGGCAGGGGCCACCACAACATGAAGAACTGTATGAAAGGGTCACAGCATGAGGAAGGTTGAGAACCACAGTGTTAGAGGGACCCAAGCTCCCACAGGCATCTATGGTGGGAGGTTCCATGAGCTAGGTGTCCCTGGGGGGTCAGCATGGCTTGCCCTCTGGGCTTGGACCAGGGAGTCTGCAGGACCATCCTCTCTGCCAGATGGGCTGTGAGCCTCGGAGTCCTGCTGATACCGTGTCATGTCGATCATGACAGAGTGGCTTTGTTAACTTAAGAAATGTGGTCAATGAGTATTTGTGCAGGGATTGCAGCTTGTGCCCAAAGGAGATAAAGTCAAGAACCATTACATGCTGAGCTGGGACTCAACTATTGCCTTTTTCTCTCCCCAGGGATTATCTGCTGGGTCACCCTGTGTGCTGTGGAAGCCCTTTCCCCCTGCCCTTTCTCCTGTAAGTGTGACAGCCGCAGCCTGGAGGTGGACTGCAGTGGCCTAGGACTTGCCGCCGTGCCCCCAGACGTGCCCGCGGCCGCCCGGACCCTGTTGCTCTTGAACAATAAGCTGAGCACCCTGCCGAGCTGGGCATTCACCAACCTGTCCAGCCTGCAGCGTTTGGACCTGTCCAACAACTTCCTGGACCATCTGCCCAGCTCCGTTTTCGGGGACCTGACGAATCTGACCGAGCTGCAGCTGCGCAATAACAGCATCAGGACCCTGGACAGGGACCTGCTGCAGCACTCTCCCCTGCTCCGCCACCTGGACCTGTCCATAAACGGCCTGGCCCAGCTGCCCACCGGCTTTTTCGACGGACTTCCGGCTCTGCGTTCCCTCTCGCTTCGCTCCAACCGCCTGCAGAACCTGGACCGGCTGACGTTTGAGCCCCTGGTGAGCCTGCAGCTGCTGCAGGTTGGGGACAACCCCTGGGAATGTGACTGTAGCCTGCGTGAGTTCAAGCACTGGATGGAGTGGTTCTCCTACCGAGGTGAGCAGAGCCAGCCTGCGTGGGGGTGAGGGCCACAGGACCACCACCCCTACTTCCTCCTGGTGACTGGGCACAAGCCGGGGATGAGGTCAGGAGCCTCTCTACCTGCTGGACCAGAAGAGTCCCATGCTTCCCCCCCAGATGATGAGCCATTAACCTTCCTACCAGCCAGGCGGAGAGGCTGGGTGCTGGCCGCCCCACTCCTCTTTCTTCTTTGTCCCTTCCAGTCTCCCGTCTCTGCTCTTTCTTTTGAAGGCGGGTTCGCTGGAACCTCATCTCACTAACGAAGGCTTAATGAGGGATCTTAGAGACACAGTCTGATGCTTCTGGGCTCTGCAGCCCACCAGGCAAGCCTCTTGGTTTCCCTGGTGGAAGAGTACATCGTCTCTCAAGTAGGCATAGTTACAGGAGGGTGGGATAGAATGAAAACACACACACACACACACACACACACACACACACATACACACACACACACACACACACATTCACACACCCAGAAAGTTACTGTCCAAGCTTCTGATAAGAAGCCAAATGGTTTTAGCTTGACTTGCTTTCCTGTCTTAAACCTGGGACTATTCTCTAATGACCAAAGAAACTGAAAAGAGGGCCAAGAAGTCCACCCGGTTCCGTGTGCCAGCTCCGGGGTGGGAGCTTGGCTCTGCTCTCTGTCTCAGATCTAGCCCCAGCTCCCCCGGGGGCAGCGTCGTGGTTGTACAATGGGGAGGAAAGCGGCAGCAGTGCTGTATCCCGGGACCATTGTGAAGTGAGGCAATCCCTGTCAGGTGTCTTGAGAAGTGGCCGGTGTACAGTCAGTCTTGAGGCAAATGTGTTCCTTTGCCACTGGTACTCATCATCAAAGGAACTCTCCTGGCATAGTGGGTCAGGAGTTGGGCCGCGAGCCGCGAGGCCAGTAAATCAAACCCACCTGCTGCCCCATGGGAGAAAGATGAGGTTGTCTAGTTTCGTGTGAAGACTTCCAGTCTCAGAAACCCCGAGGGGCAGTGCTACTCTGCCCTGTCAGCTCAGTATGAGTGGGAGTCCACATGTGGGCAGTGAGTTAGAGTTTTGAGTTTAACCTTTGTAATGTTAAATGGACTTAACCAAACACAATTTGGCGCCCAGTGAACACTTTCTGAATTAATGAACCAATGTTAAAACGATGTGAAAATAATGATCATGCTTAGCTTACTACTTTCATTTCACATCAAGCCACAATCTCAATTATTTGCATGTTATTCTTATGTATTATGTAATTAAAGCCACTTTAGAAAGTTGCACACAAATGCTAGCCACTGTGATAGTATTTGTTGAATAGTTTCCAGTTTAAACTTTTTTTTCTTCATGTTTATTATCTGTTTTGATTCTTATTGCTGCTAATTGAGATGCTCACCTCCCGGTCACCGAGTGATGCTGTCTCAGAGACCCTAGAGCGGGTGGTGTAGTGGGTTCTGTTGGGTTGCTAACCACAAGGTCAGCAGTTTGAAACTGCCAGCTACTCTGAGGGAGAAAGAGGAGGCCTTCTACTCCTGTAAAGAGTTACAATCTCGGAAACCCTCAGGGGCAGTTCTGCCCTGCCCTATAGAGTGACTATGAGTCGATAATTGAGATAGGCATCATTTTTTCTCAGGGAAGACAACCAAGGCTCGTAAGTAATTGAATACATTAGATAACTTGCACAAGGTGGAGAGCTAGGATTCAACCTGAGGTCTTTGGGCCAGGACAGTGGGGGTGCACCTCTCTGAACCCTGAGCACCGTGCTCTGGATACCGAGGTGACCCTGGATGCATGCCAACTGATGGGAGACTTGCAGTGGGTCATCCAGGCACTCAGTGGGGCCCGGGAAGTAGAGACCAAGACTCTTCCTTAGGAGACATCTTTGCCCCTTCCAACCATCCCCAGGAACTGAATTCCCAGCATGGAATGGGAATGTGGGTCCAAATGCAGGTCTTTCCAGACCTTAAGAGTGGTAGAGTGGTTTCCAACCTTGCGCTCCTTCCCACCCGCAGCCGCGGTGCCTTCACGAGCCCCGGGGAAAGACGGGTGGCTGCTGTGTGGTGTCTGCGGCAGCCGGGCCGGGAGAGGGGCTGGCAGGGTTGGCGTGGCTGGAGGCCAAGGCCACCCATAGAGGTGATCTGTGGCCTCCATCTAGATTTCATGAGAAGCTGAAGGATGGCAGGAATCGAACTTGCCCTTCCTAAGGGACATCCAGGTAGACTTCTCCTTAGCTCCCCTCTCTCTCACTCACCCTACTCAGCACCCTGCACCTCCCCACAGTCATGTCTGGCTTCACCATCATCCTGAAGGCGTGATGGAGAACCTGTCTCCCCAGCTCTACCATACCTCCTCTTCAGCACTGGCTGCCCCTCCTTTTCCCCGCTCAGGTTTGCTTCCCAAGTTGCCTTTGCTCTCTGCTGGGGTCAGGCAATTATCATTAAAGAGGAAAAGGAAGACATCCTTGCCCAGTCTTTTTTTCTCCCCATTCCAAGGAGGTACTCTTAGGCAACCCGCGGAAGATCAGTGCCCGGGGCAGTGGCTTGGCATCTCCATCCTTTTTGTGAGAGAGAGGGATCCTGGAGGGACCAGGCAGTCTGTTGAGGACTGTGCTCTGGGTTCACAGACAGGCAAAGAGCAGCGAGATTCAGGGGCAAAGGGAAGACCAGGACTGCAGGCTGGGCAGGGACCACTCAGGACACTGGGGTCTTTCCTGAACTCCTTCTGTGCTAGCCTCATCTCCCATCCTCGGGCCAGTAGGAGTCTGGAGAGGCCAGAGATGATTGGAATGGCTGTGTGCTTACCTGTCGTGTGGGAACAATGACACTGTCCATTGTAAGGGTCCAGTGACGTGACACCTGTATCTCACCTACCTTGGTATGCGACTCAATCATGTGAGTTACCTTCCTCCTACCTTCTAGTTTCAGACTGACTGCGTGGTTGAAGCTACAGCCTCCGGGCCACCCATTTGGCGGGTCTGGGGATGGACAGAGGGACTCTCGCTGCTGACAGCCTGACATCTCCTTTTTCCCCTTCTCCGGATGCAGGGGGGCGCCTAGACCAGCTTTCCTGCACTCTCCCCAAGGAGCTGAGGGGGAAGGACATGCGCATGGTCCCCATGGAGATGTTCAACTACTGCTCCCAGCTGGAAGACCAGAACAGCTCAGCTGGGCTGGATATTCCTGGGCCACCCTGCACCAAGGCCAGCCTAGAACCTGTGAAACCCAAGCCAGGGGCGGAGCCCGAGCCTGAGTCCAGCACAGCCTGTCCCCAGAAGCAGAGGTACCGGCCAGTGAGCGTGCGGCGGGCCATCGGCACAGTTATCATTGCGGGGGTCGTCTGCGGCGTCGTCTGCATCATGATGGTGGTGGCTGCGGCCTATGGCTGCATCTACGCCTCCCTCATGGCCAAGTACCACCGGGAGCTCAAGAAGCGCCAGCCCCTGATGGGAGACCCAGAGGGCGAGCACGAAGACCAGAAGCAGATCTCATCTGTGGCGTGAGAGCCCAGCCCACCTGGCCCAGGTAGGAATGACTGAGGAGCTCGCCAGGGACTGCTCCAGGAAGAGCTGCCCCTTGCTTGCCTCCATCGCACACCCTGCCTCGGCCTGACACGGGCCGCTGCTTGTCCCACTCCCGACCCAGCCCACCGGCAAACAAACCACCCTGTGGCTGTCTCTGAACCACACGTTCCTCCGTTTCCCCGGAAGCCACACCGTGCTGAAGGCTCCTGCGGATGCCCCTGGCTGGACCCCTACTTTGCTGGAACATCTGGGGGCACGGGGAAGGAAGACTGTGCAGGAGGAGGCCTCTGGACAAGCATTCCCACGCCCCCCACCCCGTCTCCTTCCCTGCCCTGGCGTAGTCAGCCCGTGCCGTGGGTCTCTTGGCCCCTCGCTCATCCCTACCTGATCTGCGTTGAGGGGGCGGGGGGGAAGTGGCATGGGGGCCAGGAGCTCCTGGTTAAGTCAGAAGGATGTTTTTGATCACCTTGAGGTGTGCAAGCAGCAGCGTCCAGCTGCTGGTATGAAACGTAGACTTAGCAGCTGTGTCTTGCCCCCAACTCTTAGCAACACAGTCCTGTGATCACACCACAGTCCCCTGGCTGATGCCACTATGGCCCTGCACCTGCTGAAGACCACGCTACTCCAGGACCCGCTGGGTCCCGCTCACACCAACGCATTGCATCACCAGCACAATCACGTGGATAGGGACACTGACACACCCACGAGGGAGCGAGGCTGAGTCCGTGGGGTAACGGAGACATGGCTTACCCATTGGATCTCTAGCCCTTAGGCCGTAGGACCTCTGGCTTACTATATAACCTTCTCAAGTCAACTCAAGGGCGTGGGATGGTGGGGAGACCTAGACCGATACCACAAGGATTCCTCTGAGATGGAGAGAGAGAGAGAGAGAGAGA